TTGTTAATTTTTTTTGAAGAACCAACTCATTGTTTTGTTGATTATTTCTATGTATTTTTCGATTTGAATTCATTTAAGTCTGATTTAGTTTTAATTATTTGTTTCCATCTACTAGATTGGGGTTTGGCTTGTTGTTCTTTTTGAAACAGCCTCAGGTACATCATTAAATTGTTGGTTTTAGATCGCTCCAATTTGTTGATGTAGGAACTCAGAGCTTTAAATTTTCCTGAGGACTGCCTTTGCTTTTTCCCAGAGGAGTTGGTAATTTGTTTGTTCACTTTTTCTAAATATCATGAACATTTGAATTTCCTTTCTAATCTTTCCTATGACCCACTGTTGGTTCAACAGTGCGTTGTTCATTCTCCATGTGTTACAGGATTTTCTTTGGTGGCTTTTGGTGTTGAGTTCTAATTTTATTCCCTTGTGGTCTGAGGGAATGCAGGGAATAATTTTAATGTTTTTGAATTTGGACAGATTTGCTTTGTGACCTAAAATTTGGATTATTTTGGGGTATGTTCCATGTGTTGCTAAGAATAATGTATATTCTGATGCTGCTGGGTGGAATATTATGTAAATATTTCTTAAGTCTAGTTGGTGTAAGCAGTTGTTTAGATCTGAGATTTTTTTTCTGTTGAGTTTTTTATGGGTTGATCTATCCAGTGGGGAGAGTGGTGTGTTAAAGTCCCCAACAATCAATGTCTTTGGATCTCTGTGTAATTTTAGGGAAAGTAGTGTTTCTTGGGTCAATTTGGGTGCCCTAGTATTTGATGAATAGATATTTAGAATTGTTATAACCTCCTGTAGGAGAGATCCCTTTATTAGTATGTAATGTCCTTCTTTATTTCTTCTTCCTAATTTTAATTCGATGTCTGTTTTATCTGATATTAGAATTACAACTCCTGCCTGATATGGGGGTCGTTTGCTTAGTACATTTTGTTCTAGCCTTTCACTTTTCAGAAAATGTTTGTTTTGCGAGGCAAGATGTGTGTCTTGAAGGCAGAAGATAGAAGGATCTTGCTTTTTGATCCAACTAATTTTACTGATATTGAGAGTTAGGATTGAGAGGTGTTTGGTAGTTCCTGCCATGTTATCCACCTTCTTTGGGGCTACTGGAGTCTTACTATAATTATCTGATTCTCTGTTTCTCTGGCTTTATTGTGCTCTTGTTTGTTTTTTATATGTAGGAAACCTTTTTTTTTTTTTGCAAATTTTTTATTGTGATTAAGTGATTACATAATGTATGTGTAGGAAATCTTTAAGTATCTTTTGGAATGCTGTTTTGGTGGAGATATATTGTTTCAATTTTTCTTTGCTGTGGGAGGTTTTTATTTGTCTCTCTGTTATGAAGGAAAGTTTAGCTGGGTATGATATTCTTTGTTAATTGTTGGTTTGTCTTTAGGGTGTGGCATACATCATTCCAGTCTCTTCTTGCTTTCATGGTCTCTGTTGAGAAATCTTTAGTTATTCTGATTGGTTTTCTTTTATAGGTGAGTGATCTTTTCTCCCTGTCAGCTTTAAGGATTCTTTTCTTGTCTCTATTGATCCTGTGTGGATTACAATGTGATGGTAGGAAGTCCTGTTCTGGTCTGCTCTATTTGGGATTCTAAACTCTTCTTGTATCTGAATGGGACTATCTTTTTGTATGTTTGGGAACTTCTCTGCTAGAGTTCTGTTAAATAAATTTCCTAGACCTTTAGCTTCTATCTCTAGGCCCTCCTCTACACCCATTAGCCTTAAAGTAAACCTTCTGACAGTGTCTTCTATCTGTTGAATGGATCTATTATATTTCTTGGATTTGTTTTGAATACTGTCAGCTCTAGGCTATCTTCAATCCTAGAGATTCAGTCTTCTGCACAATCTAACCTACTGTCAAAACTTTCAACTTTATTTAATTTCCTTTCCTTCAAATTGGTCATATTTGATGGCTTCAATTTATTTGTTGAAGCTTTGTTTTAGATCTTGTTTGGACTTCATTACCTCCTTGATTTGCTTTTCACTGTTCACTCTCTAATTCCTTAGTTGAGTGGTTATAGTTTCACTGGTCTCCCTTTCTTTCTGTTGTAATTCATTCAGCTTTCCATTTGTGGATTCCCTGAATTCGTCCATCTTTCTGTTTGTGGATTCCATGAATTCCTTTGTTAATCTTTGGTTAGCCTCATCAGGCTCACACATTGCCCTATCACACTCTCACACAAAGCCCTTTGCATTCAGCATGTTTACCAGTAGTGTTTGTAGAGCATTTTGAGAACTCCCTCTCCTCTGGATTATCCATTAACTCATCTGCTGCCTTTTTATCATGAGTGGGAGTTAAGATTCCTTGACTTGCCATTTTTCTTGTGTTTCTAAGGCATGTTCTGCCCATTTGGGTATGAAAGCAAAACCAGTTCCACACTAGAACACTATTTTATGGCAAGCATCAACCCAGAGCCTTGTAGTTGCACAGATTTATTTATTTTTTTTACACTGTCAAAATGAGTACAGATACAATGTAGCTCAACAACAAACATCTAGGAACCAATGGACTAAGAAAATCAGAAGTAGCAGGGGACCAGAAATTAAGAGGTATAGGGAGAATTGTGAAGAGAAAATAAGATTAGAGGAATGTAGGGAGGGAAAGGAAGAGAGGAAAGACCTAAGACCTAAATTCAGACAGTGGAAAAAGAGAGAAAAAAGGGGAAGAAATAAAAATAAAAAGTGAAAAACATAAAAATTATATAAGTATGAAGAAAAAATACTACGAATAAAAGAACTAAGGTTGAAAAGTTGTGAATTAAGCAATCAATGTCTGAATTAAGTATGTGCACAATTAAGAATAAGGCCTACTAATCTAAGATGGCTACGTATCTGGGGATGAACAGACTAGCAGTTAAGTAGAGTGAAATAAGAAAAAAATACCAAAAGGGAAATGGGAAAAAAGAATAGAAAACATAAAAATAATAAAGTAGAAAAATGTGTTTTAAAAATTAAATAGAAAAAAGAATTATTTGATTTATTTGGAGGATCTTGTGTCTCCCCTGTGTCCATATCCAATATCTTGATAGAGCCTCTGATTTGCTTGTGGTGTTTGGTTTTCCTGTGGCTTAGTTGGTTTCTCAAATCAGTTTGAGCAGGCAGAAAGAAGCTGTGCCTTACTGGTGTAGGGTCTTTGTGACCCTCCTCCCAGGCTAGTTCAGTGGAAGGGCAGTCTGCTTTGTGGGTCACACAGGAGGTGGCTGTTTCCTCTCAGTTGGAGTTGCTTTGAGGGAGCTTGAATGTGGATGGGGTCATGGCCTGTGTGCAATCAGTAGCTTTTCCCTGAGGGGTTAGATCCTGAGATACTCTTTCTGCCTAGCCTGGGGCACAGCCTGGAGCCACTCTCAGGATTTATGCAAATCCAGTTTTGAGTATTTTTTTAACTTCCTGAAGCCAGGAGAGCTGCCAGTGCTGCAGAGGGGCAGGTCTGCCTCTGGCTCTGTTTTCCTGAAGAAAATCACCCCGGCCCTGGGCAGGACTTCCTCCATCTTGGAAGAACAATTTTCCTCTGGGTGGAGCTGAGACACACTGGTCAGGTTCCTTTGCCCTGTTGAAAATGGCTCACCAGTATCTGCTTTTAAGGCGTGAGTTATCTGCGAGTTGTTCTGGCCAGTCTTTGCCAATATCAAAGATGGTGTTCTTCTTGGGTGGTGGGGGAGGGGCTACTCTCCAAATGCTGTTCTGTGAGAAGGAATGGGAATGTCTTGTAGGACACTCATGCCTTTCTCTTCATTTTTGGGCCGTTGGCCATCTGTATCATCTGTAGTCAGTAGGATGAAGATTTCTGCTTTTTATCAGTTCATGCTGGCCATGAGTAGAAGCCACTCTCACTCTGTCTCTGGCCCCTTGGTTCAGACTCTGTCTGTTGATATGGCGTCAGAGGCAGCCAACAGCCACTGCCACCATGGTCACCAGCGAGTGCTCCAATCTGACTCCTTAAATAGGCTGCCTGAATTTTTCCTCTCTGGCCAAACTCTCTGTACTATGATGACTCACTTGGTGTGACTCTCTATTATTTATTGATTTACCATCTTTAAGTAGTTGTGCAAAGGAGTTTCAATTCAACATGTCAGTTATGAGTATAATTCATCTAGGTCAATGTCATTCTTCCATCATTCTCCCCCATTGATCCTGACCCCATTCATTCCTTCAAGTTATCTGGGTCCATTTTCACATCTGCACATTGAATATTATGACTATTTTCCTTCTAAGTATTAAATGTTAACTATTAGCAAGAAAAGTACTCCTTTCTTCATAGGATTGTTCTCAGTGGCCTTGATTAGCCTTTTTTTTTTTTTTTTTTTTGTCAGTCATGGTGCCTGAACTCTGGGTCTGGGCACTGTCCCTGAACTCTGGGTCTGGGCACTGTCCCTGAGCTCTTCAGCTCAAGGCTAGCATTCTACCACTTGAGCCACTTCTAGTTTTCTGAGTGGTTTATTGCGATAAGAGTCTCAAGGGTTGGCTTTGAACTGTGATCTTCAGATCTCTGCCTCCTGAGTAGCTAGTACTACAGGTATGAACCACCAGCACCTGGCTTGCTTAACCAGTTTTTTTAAAAAAAATTCATCATCATTATGATTTTTGTTGTTGTTGTTGTTCAAGTACTGACACTTGAACTCAGAGCCAGGGCATTGTTGTTTGGCTTTTTTGCTTATGACTGATGCTCTACCACTTGAGCATTTTTGCCTTTTTACTGGTTAACTGGAGACAGGATCTCATGGATTTATCTGCCTAGACTTGCTTTGAACTGTGATTCTTCGATGCCAGCCTTCTGAGTACCTAAGATTATAGGCACAGGCACAAGTAGTATCTGCCTTCTAAGATAATTGCCTTTTGTTTTCCTAATCAAGTTTTTGTTTGGAGAAAAGTTCAAAACAAATGATAATATGTTGTTGTATACAATTCAGAAATAGTCCATTTACATTTGTTAATGTGCTATTTCTATTGTAAGGGAAAATTTTAATTTTCTCTTTTTTTTCTTGTTTTAGGAACGACAAGAAATAACTTTGAGGGAAAAAAAGTCATTAGCTTGGAATATGAAGCTTATTTACCAATGGCAGAGAATGAAATCAGAAAAATATGTAGTGATATTAGGCAGAAGTGGCCAGTTAAACACATAGCAGTGTTCCATAGACTTGGGTAAGATTGCTTTATGAATCCGGAAGTTCAGTGTAGTTGTCTTCCTCTAAGTGCTAATGCTGCTTCAGGGTACTTTCTCAGGCATTTACATTAGTTACTGTAAAACGAAGGCTTCCTTCTCCATGGAGAAGAGTACCTATGTCTTAAAGACCTCTTGTTGGGTTATAACTTTGGAGCATCCTTACTGCCTCCTTTAGTGTATTGAAGTGAAAATGTGTTGAGATTTCCATATCCTGGGTGCACATACCTGGATAAATATGTGCTAAAGTTCTTGAGGACTTTTAGGAAGTTCTTTTGTTCTCTAAACTGTTTATTTCAGAATCTGTTGCAAACCTGGCATCATTTAAGTTATTTGACTTTTTCTACCACTAACAGCCTAGGCTTGAAATGAAGCTAGCCATTAAGACTACCTCTGTCACATTTGCTTATTCTTTTATCATTAACAATGATTTTATTAATAACCAATAATTTTGTTAATAATTTTCTTAATCATGTTGCTTAGTATTTATTGCTCTTGCTTTAAACTCTGTGGTGTATTTATGTGGTCACATTGCATCTCTGGGACCTGCTTGGTCTTGAGCCTTATTTGTTGGAATCAGCTGTTTGCTGAGTCAGCAGATTCAGTAGGTCTCCATTAATACCCGTAGGCAGGTATTAACAGATTGACCACAACATCAGCTCAGTCTTACCTTAGTTGAATGTAACTGAGATATCTTACTGTTTTCTAACTATACTAGGTAATGAAATAAAGGAGAATGACCATGTAGTTCTACTGTATAACTAGAATTTGGTTTTTAATTTTATAGCGGATTATTTCACATGTAGCTCAGGTAATTTTTTTCTCCCTCATCTTGTTAAAGCTTGGTTCCAGTGTCAGAAGCAAGTGTGATTATTGCTGCATCCTCAGCCCACAGGGCTGCGGCTCTTGAAGCTGTGAGCTATGCCATCGATACTTTAAAAGCCAAGGTGCCTATATGGAAAAAGGTAAGTTAAGAAGATCCATCATTTTGCCATGTGGACAAGCTGTTTCTCAGAATTGTTAGCAAAAGCCCAAGGACTCAGAGTACATACACAATCTGTATTCATATGCCTTCTTTGACTATATAGTTTTGTTTTCTTTATGTGCAACAGTACATTTATAATAGTATCTCCTTCCAGGTTTGTTAAGCATGAGAAATATATCCCACAGATATAATGGGCCTTGACAAGCGCTAGCAGTTGGAATTCCTACTGTTCTCTTAGGAGTTCAAGGATGACATCTTAATTAGAATTCCATTCAAGTGGAAGATCTTCGTTTAGGAGAGCAAGAATAAATGTCTGGCTACTTAGACTGGCTAAAATAGAAATTCCTCAAGGCAGAGAGCCTTTTCCTTGTGTTCCTTTTGTTTAAGAAAGTGAGAGAGGGGAGAAAATTGCTATGTCTAAGAAATGCATAGCGAGTGGATTTAGAAGGATACATAAAGCTGGGTGCCAGTGGCTCATGCCTGTAATCCTAGCTACTGAAAGGCTTAGGATCATGGTCCAAAGTCAGCCTGGGCAGAAAAGACCCCATGAGACTCTTATCCCCAATTAGCTGCTCAAAAACTAGAAGTGGAGCTGTGGCTCAAAATGGTAGATGAAGAATCCCAAATCTGAAAATAAGGCCACCGACTCAGTTAAACAGTGCAATGAGTCTTTTCATTAGCTGTGCAGTGACTATACCCCACTCTCTCTCTCTCTCTCTCTCTCTCTCTTTCTTCCTTCCTTCCTTCCTTCCTTCCCTCCCTCCCTCCCTCCCTCCCTCTCTCTCTTTCTCTCTTTCTTTCTCTCTCTTTCTCTCTCTCTTTCTCTCTCTCTTTCTTTCTTTCTTTCTTTCTTGCTTCCTTGCTTCCTCGCTTTCTTGCTTCCTTGCTTCCTTGCTTCCTTGCTTTCTTTCTTGTGGGGTCTGAACTCTGGGCCTGGGCGCTGTCCCTCAGCTCTTTAGCTCAAGGCAAGCACTCTACCACTTGAGCCACAGTCCACTTCCCAGCTTTTTCTGCTTATGTGGTGCCCTAAAATCGAACCCAGGGCCTCATGCATGCCAGGCAAGCACTCTACCACTGAGTCACCTTCCCAGCCCTTCGCCACTATTTGAGTAGTGGGATGCAGTGAGAGCTGCATGGGAGGGGGTGTCGAGGCAAGCAAGCAGATTTACAGAAGCCAAACATAGCTTTGATTTGCAGAAGCAGAAGCAAAACACAGTTTTGAGCTGGTCAGCATGGCTAATGTTATTAATACTATAGATACTTGATTTAAAAAGTCAAAAAATATCCTTGGATTACAAAAGTCAAAACATATCCTTGGGTAGGGGTAGTCTATTTTACAGAAATGGTTTTTAGTATAAGTTCCTAATACAGCAACAGTACAGCTGGTGTTAAGCCTCAAGATTGTCAGTCGCCTTCAGCAAAGTTTATGGTAAACTGCAAAGCTGCCAGCTTGGTAAACTTGAGTGAGGGAGAGATGTTCTTTGGCTTTTTAGCAAGGATGGAAAAGGCTGAGGCTGACTACTGGCCATTTGACCCGGAGTTTCTCTCTACAGAGGGGGGTCTGTCTTTAATATTTGGCCCCATTTTTAATAATCAATAATTTTGTCCTGTTTCTGATTTCACATGTTACATTCCTCCCTCCTTTTCTGTACACTTCAGATCTTTGATATGTGTCATCTTCCTTTCTAGCCAGGGGTTATAACAAACCTGCATATGTAGCACCATGAATATAGAAACTTTAGGCAAAAGACTGACCGAGTTAGGTGGGGTAGATGAGCAATGTTCAAGGTCTCAACTGCTTCTGGGCTAGAGGCATCGCATCAGACGTGGCTTTGGTGTCAGGCTCTCTGCAGTATTATAGATGCCACCAGGTCTTTTACAAAGATAAGCTCTATCTTAAAACTCAACACATACCCACACCATCTTCTGCTACTCACACTGCTGCAACTTACTTCTGTGGTTTGTCTTAATTTCCTTCTTTGAGCAAACATTTAAGACAATTCTTCCTTTTTAAGTCCTTTATAATCTAACAGAAACCATTTTTTCTGTGTCCTCAATTCTCTTTCCAAAGTCTTTCTTTATACTGTGTTATAAGCTCTGTCTTATAAAACTTTACACATTCTTTTTTCTTCCTGCTTCCTTATCTCATTAACAACTTTGTTATTACCCCCTCCCCCGCCCCCCACACACCTTTTACATTTCTTAGAGCTTCTTTGCGGCTTGAGTTTAAAACTGTCCACTTTTTTTTTTCCTTTGGCTTGTGGAACCAGGTTATCTTAGAATTGCTTCAAGGCAGTTTACTGTGGGTCCACCCACAGGCTAAAGAAGAGACAGGGGCCAGCCTGGTGGGACTGCTGCTCCTAAGCTCACACACAGAAAGAAACAGGTTATTGCCAGAGCCAGCCATAACCATGACTATCATGAAGACATAGAGTGGATTTCTCCAGTTCCTGGTGCCTTGAAGTGTCTAAGGCTGGCCAGTGATGTTATTCTGGCCCTCAATATCTACTGTGGGAGTAGAGAGGGTTACTGGATATCACAGAAGGAATGTCCCACAAAAATCTTAGTTTCAGCAGGTCTGAAGCGGTCTTCCAGTGGGAACCCGTCACAGGTGATGGCATCAGGCAGAAGTCCAGTCCACTTTCACAACAGCGGAGGTGGCCAGGGTGATGGTGTGGATTTCCCTCCGGATGACTGTCAGGCTGTCTTTGAACTTTACCCAAAAGTGTGGGCAGTAGCAGCAGCAGCAGGGTCTCTTAGTGGCTCCAATGGATGGTCACACCTCCTGCTGGGCTGCAAATTTCTACACAGACTGGTTAAGGATACTTTATATAGGCTTGGCAGGCTGAGGCCCCACTGGTTTTTAAGACAGTTCAGACAGTGGCCCAGGACAATTTACCAGGGTGACAACTTTTTACTAACCAGATATTTTCTTTTCTTTTTTTTTTTCCGGTCGTGGGGCCTGAACTCTGGGCCTGGGCGCTGTCCCTCAGCTCTTCAGCTGTCGACTAGCGCTCTACCACTTGAGCCTCAGTCCCACTTCTGGCTTTTTCTGCTTATGTGGTGCTGAAGAATTGAACCCAGGGCCTCATGAGCCACCTTCTCAGCCCCGAACCAGATATTTTCCTAAGCATACATAGAAGGCTTGGACTTGTAACCATCTCCAACAAGTGCAATCTCCACATTTGCACACTTGTTACCACTATTTCTCATGCCTCTTCTTTTTATCTATTTTGCCTCACTTTTCCAAAACTGACTCTGGACCCTTGATCTTAAGTGGAGGTTGATGGGTGAAGATCCTCTTCTCTAACTTTTTCAAGCTGACTCAGGGTCTTTGACCCCACCTTGCCAGAAACCTAGAATCTTAGCCTATTTTACAAAGAGGTTACCAGGATTAGATGTTTAAGAACAATATTTTACTCCAAACTGGAAATTATATACGATTTTAATTTTTAACAACTGCACAGACCTTCTCTTGGGCTACAGCAGCAGCATAGCCTGTTTTAGCACTTTGGTTTGCAAAAACATTTTTCTGGCTGGCTGAGGAATCTGATCTCTGTGACCCTAAAACCCAAGTTACCTGTGCAGGCCTTTAGACAGGTATCAATAGGGACACACTCTCAGGCTCACAAACTTCCCTTCCTGAACAGATGAATTTATGTGGCTGGTGCCAGTAGAGTGCTAATCTTGAGAAAAAATGATTGGGGACAGAGCCTAGGCCCTGAGTTCAAGCTCCACAATCAACAAACAAACAAAAAAAAACCAAGCATAAATAGATCCTGAGTACAGTAGTGCCCACCTGTAATTACAGAATTTGGTTAGCTGGGGAGGAGGATCACATATTTACATTCAATTTGGACTATACTGCAAGACCCTGTCAAAAAACAAAACAAAAAGGAGATTCTGGCTTGTTTCTGTGAGTAAAGAGACCGTAAAAGAAGTCAAGCCATGGTACCAAGAGGAGGGAATTCTCGGTGCAATAGACCATTCTTAGGTGATAGACCCCTACCTTGCCCCCGGTAGAGTACATTAGCTGCTGTACTTGCCCCCTGGTAGAGTAACATTAGCTGCTGTACTTGGACAACTGTATTTTCACATCTAAGTCAGAATTATCCCAACAATGGACTTTTGAGAAGGCTGAGGGATTCCCTGAACAGCTTAGTGGATCAGAGAAGCAGAGCAGAAGACCGGGCATCCAATGGTTAAGCCTTGTCACTTTCCAGGGGACTCCGGCATCAGTCATTGGGAAAAAGGAGCAAGTAGGACTTTAAAACCAAGTCCTGGAAAATTTAGGAGTCATAAAATCACAAACTCAATTTTTATTTCAGTAAAGCCCAAATATGACTGTCTTGCTATGACCCGAACAGCCACAATCTCATTAGAACATGAGAAAGGCTCAGAAGAGGGAGGGGCAGGAAGAGAATTGCACACGAGCTACAGGCCTAGATGGCAAGGCGAGCTTTCTTTACCAGGACGAAGAGGATGCAGAGTCAGGTGGCAGAAAGCAGTGGCCCTTGACAATGAAGGACAAGGGCGGGAGTGGGGTACAGTCTCATTTTTATGCTTGGCAGGTAAGCGAGGCTTTCTGTTTATGTCTGTCTGTAGAGGCTTGGGGGAATTGCAGGTTTTAGAAATGTATATCCATAAGCAGTCAGAGCAAACAAGAAACCATGACATCACCAAATGAAACGACACTTTAGTGTCCTTTAGGACTGCAACTTCTACAGATGGTTGTTTTGAGGAAATGAAATGAAGTAAATTTTAAGAGAACTTAGAAAAGCAACTCTGATATATGGAGATTGACAGCATTACCAAAAAATAAAAAAAAGAAAGAAATCTTCAATTTGAAAACTAGAGTGAATAAACTCCAACCGTTGGATTTAGATTCCTCTTCCTGCAGACATGGCACCCAATGAACGTGGGGGGATAGTTCTATAGACTCTAGTCTCATTCTGCCTCGCCTGTGCAGATCACATGATACAGGGAAGGGCACAGGTCAAGGAACACTGAACACTAGAGTGCAGCTGAGCAGGAACTCAGTGGTGGAGAGCTCACCTGCCACACCCCTCACAAAAGAAATTATTTTCACAGGTAATGGACATGTCTTATCTTAGAAAGGCATATTTAGCATGTCAAAGTAGTAGGCATGTTTGGAAGAAAATGTGTTTAAAACTGAAGATTCTATCTTCTTCTGTCTTCTTCTACATAACCTAAACATAAAGTCTCACATTTGAGTGGATGACCCAAATGGAATTAGTTGTTTATCCTCCGTGTCATGCAATGTGTAAGACCTCCTGGGCTGACATGTTCATCATTGAAATTGGAGTCCTTAAGTGGAGGAAACATGAATGTTTACTTTTTTGCTCTTGATGTCTTACATAAACATTGGTTGGTTTGTTAAACAGGAATGATGGGACTAGAGTCATTTGTCAGATTTGTTCAGATGTATTTTATTTGGGCATATTACAGTAATCTACTTTGATATGTTATGGTTCTGTCTTTCAGGAAATGTATGAAGAATCATCATCATCTTGGAAAACAAACAAAGAATGTTTTTGGGCCAACAATAAGTAGTCACATTTGTAGAACACTCAATATTAAATTTGGCAAACTTATTGCTGCTCACATTTTGATTTTTCTTTTCTACAAATGAAGATGATTCATTGATGCATCATCACTGAGGTGATGTCAGCTCACTGACATCAAATTGGAGAAAAAGGAAGCAAATGGATTGATGTGGGTGATGAGGGGGACAGGATATTGAAGTGTATTTGAGTATATTTACATATATTGAAATCAATAGGATTGATGTCTATAGGTGTGTCTTTCCATGACTGACTTCTGATTGTCTCAGCTCAGGCTGAGGTGTGGTCTCTCCCATTCTTATGTCTCAGAGAGTATGTCCCCCACCCCAGATCAACTTTGTTATCAGACTTGATATTGTATATTAAATATTTTTCAGAACTTATATAGTTTAGAAAATAAACCCTTGAATTCAGGAAGCTTAAAAATAAGCCATGCACCAGTATCTCACACCTGTAATCCTAGCTACTCGGGATACTGAGATCTGAGGATCCTCTGGCAGAGAAATCCATTAGACTTGTATCTCCGATTAACTAGCAGAAAGCCAGAAGTGGAGGTGTGGTGCCACTTGACGCCTTGAGTTCAAATCCTACTCTACTGACACCAAAAAAACTTTAAAAATAGTATTTTTTTGCTCCTTAAAATTTGGTTATAATTGATAAAATATTTTATTTATAAAGTCTTCTAGTATTTTAGACCCATAATTGTACCATAATAGTTTTCATATTTTTATTAGGTATTAATATGGTATCAATATACAAATTAGCATACAGGTATGAAACTAGTAATATATGGTTTTTGTGTAAAAATATTAGTTGATGTTTAAAATTTGACCCACACCTGTTTAAAGAAATTATGTTAAGGAAATGAATATAAAATTATATTATTTATTAAAGCATTTTCAGAAAATTTTCCTTTGGATATTTATGCAACATTATCATTATTGAAGCCACAAATAGTTAATTTTCCAAGGCTTTCCATTTCCTTACAAATGGGGCGGTGTCATTCTTTCTGATGGAAGCATAGAATTCCATTATATACATGTACTACATTTTCTTGACCTATTCATCTAACTGAGGGACATCTGGGTTGGTTCCATATCTTAGCTGCTATGGTGAATAATGCGATAAACATAGTTGTGCTGGTAGCTTTACTATGGCCTTGTTTGTGGTCATTTTGGTAAATACCCAGAAGTGGGATTGCTGGGTCATAGGGGAGCTCTATTTTGTGGAGCCTCCATACTGCTTTCCAAAGTGGTTGAACAAGTTTATACTCCCATCAACAGTGCAGTAGGAGTCCCTTTTGGCCACATCCCCTCCAGCATCTGTTGTTAGATTTCTTGATTATAGCCATTCTAACTGGGATGAGGTGGAATCTCAATGTGTTTTGAGTTATATTTCCTTAATGGCTAGAGAAGTTGAGCATTTCTTCATGTGTCTATTGGCCATTCTTACTTGTTATTCAGAGAAGTCTCTAAGTCTTTAGCCCACTTATTAATGGGACAGTTGTTTCTTTGAGGATTTGTTTTTGGGGGATTTAATTTTTTGAGTTCTAAATATATTTTAGATATGAGACCTTTGTCCTTTGTATGGCTAGTGAAGATCTCCCACACCATGGGCTTTTTATTGATTTTGCTAGCTATGTCCTTTGCCATGCAGAAGCTCTGCAGTTTCATTCAATCCCATTTGTTCAACTTCTTTTGATTTGTTGTGTTTCTGGGTCTTATTAGGAAAATTTTGGCCTGGGCCAAGGAGCCCGAGAGTTTCTTCTATTCTTTCCTGTAAGTGAAATAAGCCAGACCCAAAGAAACATAGGTCCCATGGTTTCCTTCATTTGCAATAATTAGTATACATTTAGGATAATCTTTGCAGATGAGCTAATAGCTCAATAGCCATGTACATATGACATATAAGATGATACTAAGTGAAATGAATTACAAGACATGGACACAAGAGGCCTTTCTTTGTTGTTGTTTTTAATGTACAATATGATTTTTTGTTTCTTTTGTATGTTCTTTCTCCTGTGGTATATCCTCGTATATGATTTTGGTTCCCTGGTATTGTATATATGTGTATTTGATTTAGGGGAGGGAAGGGGAACAACAGAATGGTGAGACAACGGACAAGGCGGGAACCAATGCAACAGCGACAGTCACAAGACAACATGTTGGAAATGATCTGCACAGCGTGGGGGTTAGGGTTGGGAGGGGAGGGAAAGTAGGAGAAAATTGAGAGAAGGGATAACAAGATTGACAAGAAATGTACTCATTACCTTACTGAAACCCCTCTGTACATCACCTTGACAATAAAAAAATAATAAAAATACAAAAAATAGTTAAATTTTATAAAATATTTTTATATTAAACAATTCCTATACTAACCAATTTTTGGCTGGTCAACCCCTTCTGTCTTCATAGATATGAGTACGTAAGTCTCAGACAAAATATTTTGAAATAACTTCAGCTTTATTAAAGTACGTTTAACAAATAATAATTGTCAAGTGTATTTATCATCTACAGTGTAATGTTTTGATAGATGTTTATGTTGTGAAGTGATTAGTACAGTGATTAGAGGATCATGCTTGTAGAACAGCCCAGCAGAAATGTCCACAAGACTGCGTTTTAGTGCACCATGAGGTGTCCCTGGCAGTGAACAGTGGCTACCTGTTGGGGAAGGGAGCTTCAGAATAAGTGAGGCGTTAGTAATGGAAGTCCCTTAAGTGGACAGGAAGCCGTGCCCCTTCCAGATGGCTGCTTGTGAATGGAGAATAGGATAGGCATATTTTGATATGTATAAATCTTAATCCTTTGACCCTTGGCTAGCGTTAAGGCCCTAGTGAAAGCTGTAAGTTCTGCCTTTTGTGAGGTAGTGCCAGGGGGCAGAGGGCTGCTTTCAATGGCATAACCCACAATTCGGCTGCTGAGGGGGTAGGTGTGGAACTGCCATCGATGTATCAGGTATCTTCTGGGTCAGGAAGAGGGGCTTCGGAGATAGCTGTAAAATGGGTTGTGAATCCCTCCAAGGTCTCTGTATAGGAGTGGGAAAGAGTTAGAATTGGATGGAATCAAGGTGGCTGGATTGAGAGGGGAGCAGCTTTCCAGGGAGAAGTCAGGGTTTTCAATGAAAGTAACATGAAGCAGCTGTAGGCAGGAAGGGGAAAGGGAAGACAGGGCTTCATGAATAAAAGGTCTGTGGGGGGAGCAAATGGTAGTGGGTTGGCCAAAAGTGAATTTTGTGCTCTCTTGTGCTAAGATGGCGGCTGCTGTCAAAGCTCAAAAGCAGGCTGGCCAGCCTTTTACCATTAGGTGTAGTTGTTTTGAGAGGTAGGCCACAGGTCTAAAAGAGGGGCCTGACATTTGTCCAAGAACCCCAAGGCCAATTCCCCACTTCTCAGTGACATAGAGTATAAAGGGTTTCTTAAGGTTGGGTAGAGCTAGAGGTGGAGCCTGAACAAGTGCTTGCTTCAGTACCTTAAATGGGGTGTCAGTGGGCTTTGTGGGGTCCGGGGCTCTAGTAGGGAGCCCTTGGTTGCCTGATAAAGGGGTTTAGCAAGTTAGCAAAACCAGGTATCCAAATACAAAGAAAGCTTGCAAGTTCCAGGAAAGACAGAATGTCCTCCTTGGTTTGTGGGACAGAGAGAGACTCGACTTGACTTTTCTATCAGGAGTAATGCTTCTCTTTGTAGGAGTTTTGGACAGATCTCTGGCTTTGTTATCTGGGCCTTGGAAGGGGAGACTCTATATCCTTTGGCCAATAGGAAGTTGAAGTCAGTTGTATATTGGCAACTCAAAGGGTTGCAAAGCAAGAGATTACCAACATACTGAAGAATGACACTAGCAGATACCTCAAGAGAGAGGAGGTCCTTTGCTAAAGCCTGTCCAAAAAATAGGGACTGTCTCAAAACCCTTGAGGAGGACAGTACAGGTCAGCTGCTGTGCCCTGTAAGTATCTGGGTCCACCCAGGTAAAAGCAAAGAGGTTCTGACAGTCAGGATGCAAGGGGAGTGTAAAAAAACACATCCTTAAGGTCCAGCAGGTGGTCTGTGAGAGTATATGAGTTAGGCACAACCAGACGAATGGGAAGGATGCAGTGTTAATAACACGCAGGTCCTGGACTAGTTGATGGCTTCCATCAGGTTTAACTATTGGCAGAGGGGTGTGAAAGTGGGAGTTAGTAGGTTTGAGAAGTCCTTGTTTAAGAATGGGAAGGTTTTAAACTGTGCCTATGTTGAAGGGAAATGGGGTATTGGTATGTAATGGCTAAGGTCTTTAAGTTTAATGAGGACAGGAGTATGGTGTCTAGCCATAGTGGGTGTGGAAATATCCCAGAGAAGGGGGTGGACAAGATCTGGAGGGAGGGGGAAAGGATCTAGTTGGGAGGTCACAGGTGGGGTGCATCTAAAGATAAAAGTAGAATAGGTGTTGGCTGTTTGGGGACATATGCCTGTCATTCTAAGCCACATAGCAACTGAGATCAGGATGATTAGGGTTATAGGCCAGCCTCAAGGCTCCGTCAACATGGAGGGAAGTTGGATATGGTATCAAGAGACCTTGTAATCCTGTTATGTCTACTGAAATGATTTTTATGTAAGGACATTGGTTCAACAAATATTTGAGAATGCCCTCACTTCTATCTTGCAGTAGGTCTGCTGGGCTGTGGCTGGTGTAGACTGGCTGTTACTGCCCTTGACACCCTTTCCTGCACGTCCCCATCTTGCTCTTCCTTTACAGATTCCTATGGTCTGCTTCCTGTCACTGTTTCAGTCTCTGATTAAATGCTATTGCCACAGAGCCTTCAGGGAGTACTCTAAGGAATCAAACCCAGAACCTCATGCATGGTAGTCAAGCATTCTACCACTAAACCACACTCTTAGCCCTGAGTATTCTATTTAAAACTGGAATACTGTCCCTTTACTCTGCCTCATGTTTATATTTTTATTATCTTTAAGTAGTTGTACAAAGGAATAGCCATTTCACAAAGCAGTTTATGAATATCATGTGTCTTGATCAATATCAGCCTTTCCAATATTCTTAACCATTCCTCCCAAACCACCCTTCCCCCACTTAATTTTGTAAGGTATGTATGTATGTATGTATGTATGTATGTATGTATGTATGGATGGATGGATGGATTGTGTGTGTGTGTGTGTGTGTGTGTGTGTGTGTGTATGCCAGTCTTGGGGTTTGTACTTGGCCTGGGTGCTGTCCCTGAGCTTTTCTTTTTGCTCAAAGCTAGAACTCTACCACTTGAGCCACAGCTCCACTTCTGGCTTCTTGGTACTTTATTGGGGATAAAAGTCTCACAGATATTCCTGCTGTGCTGGCTTTGAACTACTTATCTTCATATCTCAGTCTCCTGAGTAGCTAGGATTCCAGGCCTGAGAGAGAATGCATTGAATTTTTGACTGCATTCTTCTCCTATGTCCCCCCTCCCCCTTTATCCACTGTCAACTTAATGTTACTTGCGGTACATCTACTAGTTTGTCATACTCATTAGTGTATAAGCTTTATGAGATCAAGCTCATGTATATTTGTTGTAGGAATGAATACTAGTGCTGTTGATATATTATGACATATTAAATACACATGACACTTACTGTAGCACTTTACCAATGTGAAGAGATATCTGGTTAAAATAATGAGAAGAGGGGCACAATTTGTCTCTACCACTCCCTTTCTTCTATCCTCTGTCTTAAATACTGAGGAACTAATTAATTAGTATGTTAAATATCTCCGTCATGATTTGGGTGCTATAATCGTCTTATCCAGTAGAGGGCAGTATAGCAAGGGCTATAGTGATAACAGCTTGAGTAGGTCCCGTTTTTGTTTTGCATGGAATCAAAAAAATGCACAACTGAACACATACATATACACAAACATATTATTGTGGGGGGGCAAGAAGGTTGTGGCAAGAGCGCCAAGAGGGGCGTGGGAGATGTGGACCCCTAATGCAGCATCCCTCATTCCATCATCTGTACAATGTTGGTGATAGATGTACAGTGATGGCATATTGTTTTAATAACGTATTCA